ATTGTAGCTGCAGTCACGATATTGCGGAGATTCTCGAGCGACAGCATTGTCGAGCGCTGCGTGGATCGACGCTAAGACTGCACTCTTACACAAGGTAAGGAACGCGTGGATATGCGATACCAACCATTTGACTCTGACACGACATGTTCCTCCACAGATATACGACTCGTATCGTAATTCTTACAAGGGAATCGTCGCTTCGAACACCTCCTCAACAGCAGCAACTCAGATCGCAGCTACGGTCGGAACGGAGGCAGGCTCTGCAGAGCTTCCTGTGAATGCGTCGTCGACAGCGGACGGGTCGCTTCTTGTGTTGGCAGCGGAAGCGTCTCTTCTCGTGCCGGCAGCGGACGATGTAAGTCTGCCGTCCGTAGCGTTCGCTCTGGTCAACAATGAAGCAACAGCCCAGTCCACTCTTCCAGCCACTCCAGTCGTGGCGGATGCGGCAACGGCAATGGATACAGATGCACGACCAGCAGCTGCTTCACACGCAGGAACAACCACTCTCCCACCTTCGACCGCATCCTCCAGCACTGTGGATGTCGACACGCGGGAATACAGTCGCAGTCATCCAATCAGTCGAGCTCGAGAGGCGATGAGGCGACGGGTAGCAATGCGACAACCTCAAGTGCGTCCGTTCACTTTTCTGTCCGTCCCAACACTTGCACCGCTTCCCGTGTCTCGTTCTCGTTGTGCATTGGCTTCATCGCCATCGCGACGCAATGGCTCGAGAATGGTTCTCGCAATCGCGGATGCTCTCGTTCACGACAGCACCGCGATCAGCGAGCAATGAATTTATTTATGGCTCAAAAAAAAAATATTATTAATCGAAAAATAAAAAAATAAAAAATAATAATAAATAAAAATAAATAAATAAAAAAAACCCTGGAGGCGTGAAAAAAAGGACGGAGGAATGTTGTGGTCTCATGAGCACGGCTATTTGCCTTTTTATGGCAACATCGAAATCTCCGTGACCGTAAAACCTGTCTATCGAGTCAAAAACGACAAAACCCATCAAAATGACAAAAAATACCGCGGTAGCTTTTTTCACTGTGATGGACCAGTCGCCGAAAGGCTTGTCTGCGGCCTCAATCGGAGTCAAGAGACCGTATGGTGCGT